CACACACACACACCCAGCCACACACACACACCCAGCCACACACACATACCCAGCCACACACACATACCCAGCCACACACACATACCCAGCCACACATACACACATACCCAGCCACACACACACACACACAGCCACACACACACATGCCCAGCCACACACACATGCCCAGCATCTTTCTCTTTGCAATTTGTCCCTTCTCTACTTCCTTGCACTTGAAATGGGAACTTTCAGAATTGAAAGCTTCTGAGAGCACTTACAGTACGTTTATTGTTGTTGTTGGTTTGCTTCACTGGCATCTCCCCAGATTCTGGTCATTGTTTCCTGTGATGTTGCTAAATTTTTCATAGTCAGATACTATAACTCAAAATGTTTTGTTTTTGTTCTTAATGTTTGGTCATGTCTGCTGGGATTCCGAGTGTCTACTCCCCCTTAACCACTGAACCCTCCTGTTAGCAATCCAGGAAACAATGACTTTAAGCTAGATTTTTTTTTATTTGACTTTCTTGCTATAATACAAAAATCTAGTAATAAGGAGACCGTCTCTACCCACTTCCATTGCTCCTAAAAACAGCATTAACTGCAATTCTCAGGCATTATGTTATAAAAAGACTATTTGCCAAAAGTCTCCAAATAGTTGACTTTTATTTTTATGTCTTCATGAAAGCAATATATAAAGCTCAAATAATTTTTGGTTTGGGACTCAAATAAAGGATACTTCTGTGTTTATATAGATTCTTAACTTCCCACGAATGATTGACTGGGGACCTCAGAAGGAGAATAGAACAGGAATTCAGAGTCTTGTGAATTTACACACTAAGTTTTTACCCAAAGGGCTCACTCAAATACAACCAACCAACCAGCAGCCCGTCATGTCTCCAAAAAGAGGGATGAGAACAATCACCTCTCTGTAGCCTTGAGTTTTTCATCCTTGGGCCTAACCAACCTTGGATCGAAAAGCTGGAAAAAAGCGATTCCAGAAAATTCAGGAAACCAGTTTGCTTTCACCCTCCCCATGTGAACGCAGTAATGTATAGACAGTGTATTAGAGGGCACGGGCAGTCTGGAGGCAACCTAAAGGGCTTGGGGGTGGGGACTGTGGAGGCTTATGTCTGGCTACTAAGCCATTTTGGATAGGAACCGAGTATCATCTAGTTTGAATATGGCCAGGGCTACTGATTATATGTATTATTTCGTATAAACCCCCAAGCCGAACTTCAGGAAATGTAGAAAAGCCTGTTTCAAAGCTCAAAGTGCCCTTGGCTCTAAGTCGGGAAGGGGAAGGATATGGCGGGAAAATAATCAGCAGGCATTCCATGTTTTAGAGATATTTCTGACTAAGAGGTCCACACGCCTTGCTAGCTTTGTGTCTTATTGACAAAGTAGCAACAAGCTAGAAGAGGAGAAGTTGATGTTGGCTCCTAGTTTCAGGGCATGGTCACTTGGCCCCACTGCTCTGGGGAAGGCAGAACTTCATGGTGGGTGCACCAGATAGAGTAGAGCTATTTACTTCATGGCATCAGGATGAAAAAAAAAAGGAAGGGGATAGGTCCCGGCATCCCCTTTCAAGGCACACACACACACACACACATGCACACACACACACACACAAACACGCATGCACATACTCACACTCGGACAAGCACAAACGCACATGGACCATCCCACCCCCACTCCTGCCTGACCAGGACACTAGAGCTGCCTCCTAAAGCTTCTGCTTTCTCCCTCTAGTTCCACAGCTGACCACCAGGCCTTTAACCTATGACCTTTGGGGCCCTCTACCACCCCACGTGTAACAAAACCTGTGTTCACTCATTTGGCTTCTTCTGCTCCCCTCTCCTGCCTCAGGCTGCCTTGACCATCCAGGACAGCCACATTGAGATCCACAAGCTGGTTCTACAGCAGCGGGACAGCTTGGCCCCCACCCATCCCTTCCGAGGTGGCCCCTTCCAGGACCAGGAGAAATCGCGCTACCTGGAGAAGCAGCGTGAAGAGTTGGCCAACATCCACAAGCTTCAGCAGCAGTTCCAGCAGGAGCAGCGGCGCTGGCGCCGCACCTGCGACCAGCAGCAGCGCGAACAGGAAGCCCAGGAGAGCTGGCTGCAGGCGCGGGAGCATGAGTGCCAGTCACAAGAGGACCTGCTTCTGCGCCACCGTAGTGAGCTGGACCACCAGCTCCAGGAGTACCAGCAGAGCCTGGAGCGGCTGCGGGAGGGCCAGCGGTTGGTGGAGAGGGAGAGACAGAGGATGCGTGTCCAGCAGGGTCTGCTGGGTCACTGCAAGCACAGTCGCCAGAGGAGCCTCCCTGCCGTCTTCTCTCCAGGGACCAAGGAGGTATGCTTTACCCCTGCATACGATGGGCTTACCCAAACACCAGTGTCCTTGTGGAAGAGCTCACAAAAACGTCGCAGCTGGGAGATGAAAAGCCAACAGTGTTTAGAACCAATTCATGGGTGTCTTGCCTTAAAGTAGGAAATGTTAAGGTCGTAGGTCTTTATTGGGGGCCTGTGTGCTCTGAGAACCCTTACCTAAGAAAGAGGTTGCCCCAGTAAGATAAGGGCTCCCCCTTAGCGACATCCACTGTGAGCATCCTGGTTCCTCGGTATGCCAAGGGCTCTCTTTAAATGATCTGTTGTGATAGTCTAAGAATAATCTATTATACTGTATTATGGAGTATTTAGCTCTTCAGGTGTAAGCCTTGAACTGAACAAATTTGGATGTGGGAACTTATTTGCTGTTTGTGAGTTGGAAATAGCGAATTCAAAATCTATTTCACTAAAAAGTCATCGTGAACTGCACTGATTAAGGAGTGACTGGATAAAACCATTTACAAGTTTCCTGTTCCCTTTGGATCCTCTCTAACACTGCTTGACAATCCATTTGTCTGGTCAGAGTTTCTGCACTCCGCATTGCATTGTGTTTTTTATTGGTGGCGCATAAAGCTATAAAAGTTAATAGGCTTATAAGAAAACTACGTTGCATCTGATTTCCCCTTCAACTTTGCTAAATTACATTTATTGCAAATTCCTTGTGCATTGAAGGATATGTTTTCAACCTTTTTATATAGCAAAAGTGGAAACACTGCTTGCTTTGATTAAAATAAAGTGGAGACTCTCTAATGGCATAGAACTCTGCTTTTTTTTTTTTTTTAATAAGATACATTGTGCATGGTGAATTGGAGTTTCTTGTTCTAGCTCATTTAAAGAGGTTGGGAGGACAGTAAACGGTAGATTTCTCTCTAACCTCATTTTTTATTAAAGTCTTGATTTCTAGAACAAGAGTTTTCAGGCTTGTGGGCTAAATAAATACTTTGTGAAACTTGTTTAAGTTGCTAAGAAAATTATTGTACTTTTCTCTATTTCTCTCTGCAGGTAGTGGAACTTAATCGAGCTGAGAGTTTGTGTCATGAGGATTCACTTTTCATCAATGAAGCTTTAATACGCATGTCACTTAACACTTCCAATTCACCAAATCCACCAAGTGTCTCCTGGGATGCTCACCCCCCAGCTGTCTCTCATGTTGATTTGGTAAGGACCAGTGACAATCAAACAGAACTGGAGCTAGACATTTCTCGGTCTTCAGATGTGAACCATGAACTCTGGACAGCAGCAGGGCTGGGTCATCAGATACCTGCTCCCCAAGAAAACAGCGCGGATTCTTGTGAAAATGGTAATTAATTCTTTACACATCCTCTGTATGATGTTATTGAGAAACTGGTTTCTTGAGTGGTTGGCTCCCCAGTAAAATAAACCAAAGTGAGTGTAGTATCAGTACGGTATCAGTGAGGCGGTATCAGTGAGTTGGAGTTTTCTTTGGAAATCTGTGGAGTCTCCTCTAAAGTTTCTAAACAGATGAAGCCTTGTGGTGGGGCTTAGAGGAAAGGTTCTTCTCCACCTGTGGGTTGTGACCCCTTTGGAGCTTGAATGACCCTGTCACAGGGGTCACCTAAGGCCATCAGAAAACACAGATATTTATGTTATGATTCAGTAGCAAAATTACAGTTTTGAAGTAGCAACAAAAATAATGTTATGGTTGGGGGGGGCACCACAACATTAGGGACTGTATTAAAGGGTCACAGTGTTAAGAAGGTTGAGAACTGCTGGCTTAGAGTAAGCTCTAGACATGACCAGTGAGGCATTTAGGCCAATGGGCTAAGTGATTTCTCCTTAAAAGAGGTGCAACTTGATATTTATTCTCCACTGTAGCTAGAGCCTGCTACTTCTTGACATGTGTCTTGGTTGACACTCAGAAATAAAAGGTACAGACAGGATTTGTGGTGGGACTTTTTTGTCTATGCGGGTTATTTCCTCTGACATTAGTGAAATCTTCTGTTCTACTATTAAACACTCAGAATGAAACTGTTAACATCATTTGCCATTGTGAAAAAAGGTGTTGTTTCCCTATAAGTACCTCGTGAGAACACAATTTGCTCAAGCATTTGCCAAATATAAGGGAAAGGCAGCTAGAGTTTCCAGCTCCGTGTGAATCCAAATGATTGAAATCTCTGTCCGCTTTGAATTGTTTTCTGTTGGATGGGAGGCAGGAATTAGAAGAACTGGAAACCTCCCTACTGAAAAACAGATGGTATGCAATCGCATACACAAATGGCTGGCCACATGGATGGGAAATAAATCACCGACAGTGCAATGTTTCAGAGACATAAAACAATCAGGAGTTATAGCGATCTTTAGAACTGGACACAGATTTGTTTCCGGGCTTAACATATATTCTTAGTTTGTCAGTTGGGAGGATCATTTTCCAGCAACAAAAAGTTTTAAAGGCGTTCGGCTCCTTCCAATTAGAGGGCAGTCATTCTGACACTGCCTGTGAGTCGATTTATGACGGATCCAGGGAACTCTGAGGCTCAGACGTGGCTGAAGCTTGATGCTGCTTAGTCACTCTGGCGTCCTCTGTGAGAGAATGAAATTGTTTGTAAAAGCATTGCTTTAAATGAAAAAAAAAGTACCATGGAGTACTTTGCATTAAAAAGTAAAGGCTCAAACAAAATTTAGAAAATGGAAACCCCTCCCATATATTACCTTGAAATTCCGCCCCGTGGAGTCCAGTTATGGCTTGCTGTAACTGGGCACACACTGGCCTCGCTGAGTTGACTCATTAACTTGCTATGCACAGAGTTTATGTGCGCTTGTCACTGTGGTTTTGTATGCTGGCTTTGGTATAGTTCAAAAGCTCCATTTGAGTCAGACCACATTCGGCTTTTGTTTAGAAGTATTCCCCTCACTTGTGTGTCTGCCATCATGTCTCTCACCTTGGGCCTTAAGCTCTCAAACTTTGAAATATTTGGCAGTATACTAGCAGTAGACAGAAAAGTGCACCAAGGAAATCAAAGGTGATTAGACACAGCGCCATTCTATTGGCATATAAAGTGTTAGGTAGGGTCAAGAGACATGGTGAGAAAATTGAGTCTTTGCTTCAGAAATCAATCATATGTCCAGTGCAGGCCAAGGACACTCAGGACATTGACAGGAGGCAGGAAGGGCAACAGCAGCCTGAATCTCTCGGGAATGTCCTGGGGCGCCGGATGTAGACGCCAGGTCAGATATGTTCACTGCTGACAAGTAGTCACAAGTAGTCGAAAGGCCTGTTCAGCATGAGAAGTGATTTCTGAAAGGGAGAGAAAAATGTCAAAGCATAGGGAATGATAGAAAAGTTTTTTTTTAAGGGGTGGTCAGGGCCAGATAAAACAGTTCAAGTTATTCCAAGCTTTCATGGTTCCACGGCTTGGAAATCGCAGAGCATTGACCACTGCTGAGGGTTTTAGCTAGGCCCTGAGCCCTCGTCATTCATGCTCTTGTGGGAGGCGGGAGTGGAGGGATGGAGCTGGAGCAAGCCATGGATATAGTGGGTGGGCAGAAGACGTGCAGGCCAAGGCAGCGTGTTCTGTCTCTGAATCTTGGAGTAAATAGTTACCAAGCAACCACTGCAAAGGAGTCCTGGAGAGCACAGTACTCTAGCTGTGTGTGCCTCCAGTGGCCTAGGCTGTTGTTTTTGTTAAATATGCCTTTAACTATGATTGAAAGCCGTGCTGTTTTAGTCTTGGATCGTAAGGGCTGCTGTTTCAGGAGGAACCTAAGAATGGTTTGCTCTCTTGTCTGCCCCAAGGCTGTGTTTAGGTCCAGCTTAGAGGAGTAAAAGTAAGGACTTTTGAAATAGAAGGGCTGATAAGGAAAAAAATATATATGTGTGAATAAATTTCATGAGTGTGTTTAGAAGTCACCTAGACTGGAATTTTCAGTGTTTTCTTTTTCTCTTTCAATCCAACCTCACCCAGACACTGTAGGTGTTCTCTGTGCTCTCACTTTGATTAGTCTTTTGACCACCAACACCACTAGCAGCAGTAACCATAGGACACATCACCTTGCAGCGCCTGTACAGAAAACCATCTAACCCCGCAAGCCACCAGCACAGTTGTGTGGCGAGCACTGGGGGAGACTCGTATGCAGCAAGCCAAAGCATGTCCAAGGCCACAGAGCTGGCAAGGGAGCAAGCAGGAATCACAGCTGGGCAGACTGGGTCTACAGCTCATGCCTTCAAGTCATTGCGCTGAAGCAGTTCTAAGAGCCCTGCTGCCCCGTACATGTGACAGAACTTGGAGGAGATGTGGAATACATCTTTATGTAATGCCTGGAAGGACACTCACCATTAAGGGCCAGCTTTTGGTTTTTGTTTACCCCCTTTCTCTTGTAATATTACCATTTGGAAACTGTTTCTAAAGGCTTTGGATTTCTGTGGCCGCGTCTTCCTTGGGACCTGAACATCTTCAGGTATCCTAAATAGCCTGCAGCTTCAGTTCCTTCCCAGAAGACTCATTTTTTCCCAAGGATATTTGGTTTTCTAATATCTAATAATAACCTTATTTTATTTCTAAATATTTAAGGTAGCACCATAAAGAAGTTTACTTTCTAGATTTGGAAAGTGTCTCATGAACAAAATTCTTGGATATTTGAGTATTAAATCCAAATTGGCATTTGGTTTTATTTATAATGGAAGAGATGGTTAGCTTAAATACTTATTTTTTTCCTTGCCTTTTTCTGAGGGATACCAGCCAAGACCACAAGAAGTTTGGATTTCTTTAAACAGTGAAGTCTCTGTGGGGCAATTGCTGTGTAATTGGCCCTATGAAATGCTCAGCTGCAGTGTCTCAGGCTCCACCCAACACGCAAATGTCATTTGTTTTCCTTGTTACCGAGATTTTCCCCCTCTAACCTTCTAGAATTCTAGAACTATATATTGAATGCATCCAGAATAGTGTCTGTTAGTTCCTTTTTTCATCAATCAATGAAGACAACATTTTATGGTATTAAAGTCTGAAATCTGCTTGATCTTAGTCTTGCCTTTTATTTATATATATTTTTTAAAATATCTCAGTACTCTATTTTTAGGTTACCTAAAATGTTCTCATTGATGACATTAAATAATTATTGTTCAGTTATATGTAAAATAAAGTTATATTGGGTAAATTATTATTATTATTAATATTCATGTGTATATAAGTGTGTGTGAGTGTATGAGTGTGTAAGTGTAGGTTGGTGTATGCCAAGTTCTTGTGTGGAGGTCAGGGGACAACTTTTGGGAGCCGATTCTCTCCTTCCACCTTGTTGAGGCAGGCATTGTTGCTGCCGCCATGCTGTGTGCTCCAGGCCAGCTGGCCCAAGTCTCCTCCCTGCGTCTGCCTCTCCTCCTGTCTTAGGACTGATGGCATTACACATCAAGCCACCATCAATTTCTTTTACACGGGTTTCAGGGCTCAAACTCAGGTCATCAAGCATGTGTGGTGAGCCCTTTTACACACAGAGCCATCTTACTGGCTCCTGTTTTTGTGGTAATTTGAACAAAAGAGTAACTTTACTTATAAGAGGTTTAAAGCCTAGGCTAGCTTCAAACTCTCTAGGTAGCTAAAGATGACCTTGAACTTTCTATCCTCCTGCCTCTACCTCCCAAGTCCTGGGATTACAGGCATGTGCTACCATATGTTTAGTTTCTGGTGCCCAGGACTGAACCCAGGGCTTTGTTCACACTAAGGAAGCACTCTAGGGGCTGCAAGAATAACTTCATTGTTTTGGTTCCAAAGGAATTTTTCTTTCATTACATATTAGAACTTGGTGCCCAGCAAAACATATTCAAACTGAAGGGCACTGTATTTAGAATATCTCATCTTGGTAATGTATTGTTGATGATATTTTTTTTCTTTTTATTTGAACAAACATAGATAGATGCATCAAGCTTTTCAATGACAGACTTTCTAAACCTAACTGTTTTGAAATTTAAAAAAGAAAACTATGCTGTAGTTCTAAGTAAAAGGCTTCCAACAGTTGAGACTCTGGTAATTTCCAATGTTTAAAATCTGCTGTAGAATTCAGACCTTGGCATCTTAATGTGTGTAGTCCGAATGGGAGGAAACAGCACCAGAGAACTTCGGGCCATTTTCCGTAAAACTGAAATTGGCCTTAGGCTCCGTCAACTTCAATGACAAAGGTGCATTTTGAAGAGAGGGCTGTTTGAGTTTCCAAGGGCTGCCAAGCCGAGTACCTCAGGCTTGGTGGCTTCCAAGGTCCCAGTTACTCACAGGCTTGGTTTCTGTGGAAATCTCTCGCTGATTGATTGTCTTCTCCTTGGGTGTTGACAAGGACCTCCAGTCTGTGCCTGTC